CTAGATATGTAACGATATATTTCTATTTTCGATATATATCGATTCTTTGTTATATACCGATATATAACCTATTTTATCGATATATAACGTTATTTTCTAATCGATATATATCGATTTATTGCAATATCGATATGTATCTATATAAAAAATTTTCTGATGAATGAAGACACTCAAGACAACATAGTTGCAAAAAAGAAAGAAACAAACTACATTAAAAATGCAGAATTAAACTTTAATGAAAGTGATAAAGAATTGCTAATGCAATGTCAGGATTATTAAGATGACTACAAATTCTCATTAATATTTTCAAAAAGCGGAACATCAGATCATAGTACAGAGGATACAGCAAAACTAATATCTCTAGTTAAGAGTTTTAACAATATGAATTTAGAGATGAGACAGCAAATAACTACCGGTGAAAAGCAAAATGTAGAAAAACAAGCCAATCTCAAAAAAGAGGTCCAAGAAAGTAAAGATATATATAGCTCATTATGGGCACCTAAAAATATATTAGCCCAAGACAAACTTTTAGCAAATAAAACTGAATATTATAAAGAGAAGAGGAATCGAGAGTTATATGCTACAATTTGGGATTTACCTTTTGGAGTAAATTTAGCAAGAATCAAAAGATGTTTTAATCAATTTGGAAGAGTAGAATTATTAGAATGGCGCACTTTGAAAAGATCGGTAGCAGCATACATAAAAATCACATGCAGAAGTAAGGTGCAGAAGCTAAATCTACAAAATGCATGGGCTATACACTTTGAAGAAGACAAAACAAGCAGAATTATAGCAAGTAGATTTGATATTAAGGAACTAGAAATAAGAAGAGTATAGATTGATACTTAAAAACATTTCTAATTTGGCACTTGAGTCGGTTTTGTTGAGACAACTAAGAAGGTTTAAAGCTAAGATGGTATTTAAACTTACTAATAAAAATAATAATCCAAGTGGGAATGTTCTAGTTTATTTTGCGTTATTAGAGGATCTCAAAACAGCAAAGGCTTCAGTACTATATTACTTTCACAACATGCTAAAATGAAGCAAAAATGAGCATTATGAATTAGTCAAAGATAATAGCTCTAGGGAAAATCGAAACACATTTAAAAGAAATGAAACTTACAATAGTTAGCATCTGAGAAATCAAGAAACATATTTTAAACAAAACCTTAAAAGAAGAAGATCACCTAGCAACAACAATAGTAGACAAAGAAGAAATATAAGTGAAAACTTTAGATCTCACAGTAACACAAGAAAGTCACTTAAAAAGTAGAAGACAATAGATTAAATAGACAGAATCAGATACTGAATAAAGTAGTAACTAGTGCCAATAGGATAGAATTAGATAATGCAAAAGGAAAGAAAATCGAAAGAAAAGAGTTAAGAAATACTATCTCTAATAACTTGGAACCACAAAGCAGTATCTTAGAGCAAATTCTAATCAGACTCCAAAAAATCAAAGAAAAACAGGGGCTATAGACCCCAATTTCTCCTAAAAGGTGCCACAGGCGCATTAATAAAATCAAACAAGCAAAACTGCTTGACAGGACAAATACCACTTAAGAGAACTACAAATGCCCTAAATCGTAAATTAAAGTTAGCATATTATAATATCAATGGGCTCAAATCAAACAATTATAAGCTCTTACATTTGATAGATTGGGCAATTGAAAAAGAAATAGATATTATAGAAATTATAAAAACAAATATCTCAGACAGGGAAGGTCATTTCATTCTTGATTCTGAGAGCCCCTTTAAAGGTTATTAGACAAGCTCATACCCTAATAAAAAGAAAGGATCAGGATTAGGAGTTCTTATCAGAAAAAATATTCACAAATATACAGGAAACATCAAAAAACACAATGAATATCTACTAGAGCTTCATATAATATTAAAGCACTTAAAATTGGCGGTATTAATTGTATATCTTCCACCAAATGACAAAAACCAAATTAATCTAATTCAACAACAAATTGAAGAAATATATCTCGACAGAGCAGTGAATTATGAAGTAATAATTATGGAAGACTTCAACCATATAACAATACCTGAACTTGATAAACAGAGTCTTAGTAGCAAAGTTATACACAAAAAACTTCCACTATATGAATAGATGATAAGTCAAAAGTTTGTAGATACCTTTTATCATTTAAATCCTGATTCGCAAGCCTTTACATGAACAAATGATAACACAGCCACATGGATTGACCAAATTTAGATTTCCAAGGGCTTAGTTGAAAATCTATATAAAGCAGAAATTCTAGATATGGACTGTATAACAGGAAGTGACCACAATACAACTTTAGTTAGCTTGAATAGCGAAAGTGATATACAATACCAGGCTCATAATACTATGAAGACCAAGAAATTTCATCTGAAATTTTTATATGAAAAAGCCACAACTGAAAATTGAAAAGACTACAAATCTTCACTGCAGTACTTCTTTGACAAACATGCATCCTCATTAATTGCATTAAACAAGGATATTAGTATAATATCTCAACAAGATATAGATCATATTTGGGTCTCTATTGA